TTAACAACAATTTGGCTGTCCTCCCTAACTGTATGTGGCCCGCTATTATCTGCTCTAGAGATTTTGGGTTTCGGCTTGTCGTGGTACCATAGTCAATAAAAGACTTTAATTTAAAAGTAGTGATTATTGATTTCTAAATTACCTGATATTGTCACTGGCATTATGATTTTAAATCACATAAAACAAGATCTAACAATGGTTTTGAAGGGATATTTGACTTTTTGTTGATCTTTTGATCTAATACTTGATAGGACTTCATGCCGTAATCAGTAATTGTTGTTAGACATTCCTGATAACACAAGATGTTGGTATCTTAGACAAATTGTACATTTGGTTAAACTTAGGCTATAACCACATCTCTTTACCACATATTATTTACTCTCTACTATTTTAAAAATTTTCTCCAAAGGAAATAAAAAAAATACTACATTTATTTGGGCGTAAGATATGGGATTTTTCAGAAAGAAAGGGCAGTAAGATGTTTTCTACAAATGGGATTTATATTGTAAGCATAAAAAACATGACCAATAGTACACAACCTAATGTCAAACAAGTTTATTAGTAAATACTTATTTAGATATAGTTAAATGATAATTTCTAAATATATAAAAAATATAAAAATATACAATCATTTCTAAGTAAAATAACCATAATAACCTTACTGTTTTACAAAGGATATTTACTATAACACTTAACATTTCTATATGAATTCTTAACAATAAAAAAATAAAAATAAACCAGTATAATAAACATCACAAATACGACAACACAATAGAAAATAATAATTTAAGAAATTTTGTCAAAAACAACATTTCAAAGAATCAACTTTATAATACTGTAAAAAGGCTTCATTAAATGGATATATCAACAAAAATAATAACTGCAAACGCTTTAACGTGCATACAATTCAAACAAGAGCAACCAAACTAACTAAATATAGACCAGAATATATGAACACTTGTCACAACGTGTTAGAATTTTTTTTAATTACGTACCCTAACACACAAAAAAAAACTGGTCTTAAAGTTCTAATTAAAGGAAGTGGAATCATGTTGAAGCTTTTGTAACATTTGCACGGATACAGGATAATCTGGAGCTCATACTCCCGCCACTCTCGTACATCGTGGATAATTAAAACTCCGCATCCGATTTGCAGAGATGTGTTGCTAACAGCTTCACGTGGCAAAAAGTTGTCTCCGTTTATTCAGTTTAACTAAGTAATTTCGCAGAAACCTGGTTTGAAATCCGGCTTACAACAGGACACTGTTGCAAATTAACTTTAGGGAAGTTTTTTTCCCGTTCTGACAGAAGTTCTAAGGGTTCCGGATAAAAATCGTGGACAACGCCTTTTGGACAATTTAATCGCATTTAAAGATGGGCAGAAATAAGGTAAAAATGTGCAGGTGCAAAAGTAAATGATACTGACATACTTTGGAATAGTATATTTTATAACAAGAGTGGAAAGTGAGTCATTCCATATTTGAGACCATTCTTAAATTGCTATATTTATCGAGCACTATATGGTCTAGAAAATGTATGAACCCATTTTCACTCGTGTTTTGAACGTTGCTTTTTGCTACTCTAAAATGACTTATTATTTTCTTAACTAAAACAGACATTGATTATCTCTTAATAACAATTAGGAACATAAAAAATTCATATTATCATATTATTATCATATTATACCTTCAATTTAATATTCACTTTAGTTGTAGTATACAGTTTTGGTTGTTGAAAATTTAAACAGTTGACAAAACAATAACCAATCTTTGTTTGTTTGAAACATTACTTTTGAATAGTAAACATTCTTTTCCGTAGTAATCAATGTAATAATAAATTTTCGCAGGTGATAATAATGTAACAAAAACAGTCCAATTTACAGTAGCGTAGAGAAAATATTTCATACATTTTCCCATTTTAACAATTACAACTTTTAATAGTAATACTTGAACAATACATAACAAATTACACATTTTATCACCAGAAAGAGTTCTGATTAACCGTAGCCTTAATTTCAGAAACAAATAAATATTTCCTATAAAAATATTGATAAAAATAAGTATGGTTTTGTAAAACTGTATTATTCTGTATATTTCAGCTTCAAAACTCGAATTGAAAAGACCTGAACCAAAATGTTAAAACTGAAAAATCTTTTTTTCCAAAATTATATCACTAAGGAATTTCCAAATCGTCAAAGTTTTTATATTACTTGACCAGCTGTTAGTAATCCCTCCAATCCTCATGGTATTTATCAATTGTAGAGACATTCAAGTCATAATCGAAATTTCATTTCCTTCAAATTTTTCCCTCTACGGGGCTGATCAGTGTGCAGGTGGAGAACGCCCGCTGGGTACCTCGGGGGTCCCGTAACTAGCAACAGCTGGCTTATATGTCGGTCGGCACTCATTTGTCTGATGGAAATTGTCGTAACACTAATAAACGTACCAATAACACGAGAACATCTCGTAAACAAGGAGCGAACAGTAGTTATCTCATCGGGGGGCGGTCCGGTACGTGATAGGGGTAGGGCTGTAGAGGATACGGGGTGATTTTAAATTAAAGTTTTTGTGAGCTAAAATATCGGAGATATTGTTTGAAGAGATATCATGTGAAAGTGTAGGATTCATTTCGATTCTTAATCTTGGTGATTTCTCAGAATTTAATTTGGTAGGACTTAACCTTCACTGATACCAATAGTGCTCTGCGAATGAATACGGCATATGATGTAAAGCAAAGAGTATTTAATGACGTCTGGTTAGCAATAGAATCAATTAATTTGTAACAATTTTGAATTTCGTCTCATGGGGTACAACTCAATACGATCTGCAACTTTGTAAAGATTGTACATTTATTGTACTTTCGCCCAAACAGCATATGATTTTTAAAAGTGAAATTGTTTATTCCTTTAAACTATACATCTTCACATCAAACAAAAATACAATTTGAAAAATGTTTCATGATAAAATGAAACCTATATGAAAACCACATTGGTTTACAATAGTTGACGTAAAATAGAAACACAGAACAAGTATCATACTGGCAGGGTAATGAAAAAAAGATATTTTAAACAATTCTATCAGAGGGCGCAGCTGGTGTTTCAACATAATCACGAGTTGCATTTGCGGAATGCATTTTTCAACAGATCGCGATGAAAGTAATTCGAATTTCACAGAGTGTAAGAGCAAAGTTAGCGAGGACAAAAGTTAAATTAGTTTTAATGTGTCAGCCAGAAAGCTGTGTACCTGGGCAGGAGTTGGCCTCTGTTTCGGCGTTATTTGCATTTTGTGGCACGCGAGACAGTGTTGTTTGCTTTATATCTAATTTATTTTTCATGGCAATTTCTTATCAAGTGGATAGAATCGATTGTCTGTTACTCATATCCAAACAAAAATATTTAGGGCTAGCTGACATTGTTTATATAAATAAAATCAGATGAAATAATTAAAGTGTAGACAAATGTTTCCTGTGTTAAAAATACGATTTTAGTGCCTTGTTTGGTTATAGATCTGTTTGAACTAGGTTGTGGGTTCAAGAAATCTCAGAATTGCAAAGCACGTAAGGGATGGTTCACTGTTGGACTTTTTGCCTATTAGCCCCCAAAAAGAAACATTTTATATTTGATTTCAACTTCAAGAACTCATACTTTCTCATCTATAACATAAGGAATAGGAATATGAAGGCATTTACAGTACTAGAATTGCTATTTTGCTATGGTTTAATTAATTGGTTGTGGATCCGGTGAGCTAAGGGTACACTAAAGAGGCCTACTTGAGTGGGCGTAGTTTAATTTCGAAGCTAATATAATTAGATAACTATTTAATTATCGCTAATCTTACTAACTAGTAAACTAGTCGTGCTCCTAGTGAACTAGGGTATTAGCATAAATATCTAAGCGATATTCACAAAAAAAATTTATAACAAATTATTTGAAAATAATTCTATTCAATATATTGTTTTCTTATTGTAATAAATGGCCTATTTTTTGGTTCGCCTAATAATAACCAGAAAAAAATGTTTGAATATTGATCATTATTTGATTGTATGTTAAACATATGAAATCATATATTGTTTCGTTAAAAAGGTGTTTATAGCATTTATTGAATTAGTTGGATAGTTAGCGTAGTTCTCGTGAATCTTGTACGAAGTATTGAAACAGTGTAATGCACTATAAATGATATCATCAGATGAAATTCCACGAAGTAAGATAGTTGGTCCACGAATATAAGTGTATTACCATAGATTAAACATACTCCCTTGGTATTACTAACAAAACCACAGAATCTTTTTAGTGATTAAAAATACATATAGACTATATTGTCTTGAGATTTGTCAATATAAACAAAATATTTTTACTACTATAAAAATGCATATTTTTGTATACACTTCTTATATAGAATTATTGAAGGTGAATTATCTATAACGAAAACTATGTATTTTTATTTGCAGCATAGATGATCCAAAACAGTTTAATCGAAAAAACAAAAATTGTATAGATCAATAATACGATCACTAATTTTTATTACAACTAGTAATACTATTTATGTTTGCAACATGTTCTTTGGATTAACAATAGCGATAAACAAAATCCCAATGTCTGAAGCAATAAACCCAATCTCCTTTCCGGTGAAATCATTTCCCTGCGCCGTGTGCCTTTGATGTCTAATATCCAATAAGTTAGAATTAAATCTGCGTCTGGGGATATAAGCTGTAGAAAATTAATAAATCACAACTGCCAAAACTATCTTCCTTTGAGCCAGACGAAATGAAAATAAAAAGACTAGCTCCCCCATCTAAATCAACCCCTCCAGCATAAAAAGGGCGCACGAGGGGTGAGCCGGACAAGTTATGAGCGGGAGGTTCATAGTCGGTTTGACCGAGGGAGGAAGTGCTCGGGTGTGTTCGGCAATTGTCGGATAGACTCGGCGGTCGGCGCGGGCAGGGTTGCGAGATGTAGGCAGTGTCGTCAGTCTGTCGGGTCAGTCGGTACCGCGCCGCGGAGCTTGGTAGTGCTAACTCGCCCTGCCCTGTCTAGTTCAGTGATGGTTCGCCAATGTTCGACAACAGTGATCAGTGATACCATGATAGTGCAACTGTGTCGTCTTCCTCCACGGATCACATACAGCAACACATGATTATTACGTCAACAGGATCACAGCATTTGCCAAACGAGATTTTCAACACTACTTAAATTTTGGCCTACAATTATGATTAGGATTTTTAAGCTCGGAAATGTATGAAAATGAAGACTGAAACGTTTGTTCATTTACGGTAATTTTTCTCAATAGTTCACTCCTTAAAATAAAAATCTGTGATTTTGGTGTTTTTACAATGTAGACTGGCTGACGTGTACTGGAAATAATTAGGATTAATAACTAAGTATCAATTACTCACTGTTACATATTTCTAATTGCGATACTAATATGGCTCGTTACTGTTGCTTTTTATTAATGACGCTTTACTGGACGGGGAGAACCGTAATTTCAACGGAGGAGCCGACGGTTCCGCCCCTGCGGTACGACGCCCCGGACGACTGTCAGTGGTGGGTGCGGGACGCAGCCGGTAGTAATGACGAGGTAGCTCTGTACTGCAAACTGAGAACAATAAACAGCGAGTTCGATACGACAAACTTTAGTGTAATTCCCTCTGAGCATACTACCTCCTTGAAAATTGAATGTAACGAAAGCATGTTATCTAGAAGTTCCTTAGACGATAGCAGTTTCGCACATTTAACGAGACTTAGGGAATTGGTTTTAGAAAATTGCAAACTAGCAAAATGGCCATCGGGAGTGTTAGTGGGGCTGAGGGACCTCCGTAACCTCACGCTAAAGACTCGGAACACGGACTGGCCGACCATGACCCTGGAGATAGCATCCGATAGCTTCTCGCCCGTCCGTCAATTGGAGAGGCTCGATTTGAGTTCTAACAATATATGGTCCTTCCCAGAAAACGTGTTTTGTCCGATGACCAATCTAGTGACCCTAAACGTCAGTCGCAACCGCCTTCAGGACGTGAGTGACCTCGGGTTCAGAGAGAAGACACCTCCACCTCAACCTCTCATCAGCACCCAGGACGACGTCGTGGACCCCGAGACCGAGGGCAAACCTCCGTCCTCTCCATGCTCCATGGACATCCAAGTCTTAGACACCTCTTGGAACCACTTCGTGCTGATGCCGGTCAACGGGTTCAGCGCTCTACGCCGCCTCAGGGAACTCTACATCCACGACAACGAAATTTCGATGGTATCTGACCGTGCCCTCGCGGGACTCAAGGTGCTACAAATATTTGATTTATCTAATAACAAAGTGGTGGCTCTGCCGTCCGAGCTGTTTCGTGATTGTGCCGACGTCGTTAAAGAGATTTATCTACAAAACAATTCCATAAGTGTTCTCTCCCCCGGACTGTTTGCCGACTTGAACCAGTTATTAGCTCTGGATCTCTCGCGGAACCAGCTTACCAGCGCGTGGATCAATAGCGGGACGTTTTCAGGACTGATAAGACTAGTACTGCTTAATTTGTCGCACAATAGAATAACAAAATTAGACCCCACTTTGTTTCACGATTTATACACGTTACAAATCTTAAACCTCGAACATAACCTCTTAGAAACCGTCCCTCCAGACACTTTTACACCCATGAACAATCTACATACTTTAGTTTTATCTTACAATAAAATAACCTACCTCGATGCTTATGCTCTCAACGGTCTCTATGTTATGAGTCTAATATCCTTAGATAATAACGTATTAGAAGACATTCATCCAGACGCGTTTCGTAACTGTACAGGATTACAAGACCTAAATTTGAGCGGAAACCAATTAAAAACTGTACCTCTGGCATTAAAGGATCTGCGAATTTTGAGAACAGTCGATTTGGGTGAGAATAAAATTACTTCCTTGGACGAACCGGGCTTCCACGGAATGACCAATCTGTACGGCCTCAGATTAATAGGAAATCACCTCACTAACATCAGTAAAGACGTGTTTTCCGATTTACCCTCCCTACAAATCTTGAATTTAGCGAGGAATAAAATTAGCAAAGTGGAAACCGGAGCTTTCGATGTGAACGCTAATCTCCAGGCGATCCGTCTAGACGCCAACCTCCTGACAGATATTAATGGTCTTTTTACGGAAGTTTCAAGTTTGTTGTGGCTTAACATTTCCGATAATCGTTTAGAATGGTTCGACTACGCCCTCTTTCCTCGAGGATTACAGTGGCTAGATTTACATAAAAACTTTGTCTCAGAATTGGGAAACCACTATTCCTTAGAGGCAGAGTTAAAAATACAAACTCTAGATGCCAGCTTCAATAAACTAAATAAAGTGACGGCGGCATCGATCCCGAACAGTGTGGAATTGTTGTTCCTGAATGACAATTTAATAACGGACGTCGAGGCTCACTCTTTTGTCAAAAAGGTGAATTTAACTCGAGTCGATCTATATGCAAATCAAATAGTGGGGATGAACCTGAGCGCATTACTGCTGTCGCCTGTGAGTCCGGATAGGCCGTTACCGGAGTTTTATATTGGGGGAAATCCTTTCCAATGCGACTGCGGAATGGAATGGCTACAACGAATCAATACGTTGGACCATAGGACGCACCCAAGAGTAATGGACTTGGAGAGTATTTATTGTAAACTACTGTATAACAGAGACAGAATGTACGTGCCACTAATTGAAGCTGAACCTTCCCAGTTTTTATGTGCATACAAAACACACTGTTTCGCCCTGTGTACATGTTGTGACTTTGATGCCTGCGATTGCGAAATGATTTGTCCAACGAACTGTACGTGCTACTTTGACGGCTCATGGTCTGCCAACATTGTAGACTGTGCCGGTGCGGGGTATACCCAGATGCCGAGTAGGATACCAATGGACGCAACCGAGGTGTACATAGACGGAAATAACTTCGGAGAGTTAACCAGCCACTCCTTCTTGGGTAGGAAAAATTTAAAAGTGCTTTATGCTAACAACTCTAACATAGCCGCAATATACAACCACACTTTTAGTGGACTAAAGAGACTCACTGTACTACATTTGGAAAACAATCACATACGAGAACTCTTGGGATTCGAGTTGAGTAGTCTGGAAAATCTGAGAGAGGTGTACCTCCAAGGCAATAAAATACATTATATAGACAATAGGACATTTATCGGATTACAGCAGCTCGAAGTTCTGCGTCTCGACGGCAATAGACTTACAAAGTTCGCAGTGTGGCAATTCTCCGCGAATCCTTACCTCGTAGAAATAGGGCTGGCTGGAAATCAATGGTCGTGCGATTGCAAATATCTCCAAGACTTTAAATCCTGGTTTAACGACAATTTCGCCAAGGTCGTCGATGTTGACAAAATTATATGCGTCATAAACAACAGAACCAATGCAGTAGGACCACCAATTAAGGACTTGAATGGTACTTACTGCGCCGCCTACATCAGTGGGTCTAGAGGAATCGTAGGGCGGTACGTGATAAACGACTACATTCCATTTTTGTTCCTGACATTCTGCGCCTTCGTCGCATCTATAGTTTTAGTGTGCGGTTTATTTTTTTACAGAAGAGAACTTCGCGTTTGGGTATACTCGAGGTGCGGTTTGCGTATGTGTTACAAATCAACGGCGTTCGACGAAGAACAAGACCGTGACAGACTGTTTGATGCGTACGTGAGTTACAGCGTGAAGGACGACGCCTACGTCACACAAATGTTAGCTCCGGGACTAGAGGCCGGAGATCCTTCCTTCAGACTGTGCTTACACTACAGAGACTTCAACGTGAGTGCGTACGTCGCCGACACGATCATAGAGGCCGTAGAGTCTTCCAGGAGGACTATAGTAGTGTTATCCAAAAACTTTTTAAATTCGGAGTGGTGCAGATTTGAGTTCAAATCGGCGCTGCACGAGGTGCTAAAAGATCGTCGACGAAGGATGATCATTATATTGTTAGGTGATATCCCCCAGAGAGACCTTGACCCGGACTTGAGGTTGTATCTCAAGACGAGCACGTGTATAGAGTGGGGAGACAGACTGTTCTGGCAGAAGCTGAGGTTCGCGATGCCTGACGTCAGGAAGACCTCCAGGTCCACATCCAGGAGGTTACCAAGGCCTCCGCCCCCGCTATACGAGCACAGCGCTTCACTGCCGCCTCCGCCACAGCCACCCCCAGGCAAGCTGCTGCCTCCGTTTCTCCACCATCCCTCCAACCTCCAGGTCGCATCTCACCGCGACTCCACGAGACGACTGGCACATCCACTGTGGGCGTAGCGGATACTCTACCACCCTAGGTCAGTGCAGATTTTATTACCAATCTATACTAATATTGTTATTGACTTTAATAACGACAACTAAGTAAGTGCCTTAAAAAAAAAAAAAAATTATAGAAATTAATTACTGTACTTAATTAATTTTAATTCCTATGGTTTTATATTTTTTACACTGGTATAGCATCGAAAAGCCTTTGGTGTATGTTGCAATAAAAGGTTGATCAGTAGCTAGACAAATAGTTCATTACAGTACAATAATTTAATATTTTGACAAATATGCTATACTCTAAAAATGAACCCCATTATACGCTTTTGAGATGCCTGATTTAAACATTACATTAAGCCATTTCACTTAGTTAAAAAAAGTGAAATGCTACAAAAATATAAATGTAAAATTCTTTTAAATCTGTGAAAAAGCCTACGTCTTATTATCTTATTAGGCCTAATGCTAAACAATTTCCATTGTAAAACTACTTTTTGCCATACATTTAACCGTAAAACATTTCCGAAATTAGCAAAGTTTAACAAAACTCATAAATTCAGATAACTGCTGTCAAATTATCTCTAAAAAGCGAATGTCTCATAAAGAGCATACGTTTTATCGCATCCCATAAACTGTTGCAATCTGATAAATGGCACAATCAGTACATAAAACACGGAATAATGTCACATTTCGGTATCACAAACATAAATATAAGGTTCCACTGGGAAAGTGAAGTCCCTGATATTATTACTGATATCAGAAACAATATATTGCCCATTGTATGAACTAATCCCTGTGGGACAGTTTGTTCACAAGTTGGGTACGTTTAATCCCCTGTACAGATGTTACTCATATCCAGTTAATTGTACACGACAACTTTGTCTAATCCGTTTTACATTTTTAAACAGAATCCCTTTCAATTTTCTGATAAAAATGTTCTTTGAGTAAAAAGAATATCTATTATAAGCAGCTTTGTAAACGCGGTTATCTATACCTTTTTAATGAACTTCTTTGTTAGGTTTCCTTTATTTCTTGTATGCTATATTTACCTTATTATTTGATAACCTACGGGTTTGTAATAGTGTTTTATCCAAAACATGAGTAGAATATAGTAAACTAGTAGAATAAGTAGAATAGTTTTATTAAAATACATTTTGATTAATACTTTATGTTGCCAGATATTACAATACTTTTGTGTTCCCTCTTACAATTAAAATGAATGAGGCTAACAGTACGAATATCTGTTACGAAATTCCCAAGCACAATCAGCATTTAAATTGTAAAAACGACGCGTTTCATTATGGTAATCATTGTGAATTTCCCGCTAATACCACAATGCTAATCACCAAACGAGTTATGATTCTGATTCACACTATCCTTCCTGATTATACTCGCAATTAACATTAGGCAGGTTAATAACTTAATATCTTTTTAGAAATTGTTTTTAAATGAGCATTGTAAATTTTCATTATTTTTCCACTATAAATTTGTTTGGCAGACAAAGATATTTTCATGTATGTTTTAACTTTAACACTGTAATTGATTTGTATCAAAATAGTTTAAGAATGCACGAAGATGCCATGTTTTTTGTTTATTTTTACAGTTGGTAATGCTTCATTTTAATAACTACTGATTTAACGTTTGAAATGTGTATACCGGTATGTAGTATTTTTTATTCAATCTTATTAAGTGGAAAAGTTTATACTAAAATATAAGTCAAAAGCAATATAAATTGCCATACCTAGCAAAGTGTTGTTTCTTTTTTCATAACTTTTTAAAAGGCATTAAAAAAGTTACTTTTCAGTCAATAAATGATTTTTAACACGTTTTCCTTTAATCATTAAGTTACAAATCGATTTATGTGGTTAAACATATTACATCAAATCGTGTAAGTTAATCATCGTACATCATCGTGATTATTTAAAACTGTACAATTAAATGGTAATGTTTTAAATGACATTGACGATCATAAGATAGCGTTGTTTACGGTTTGCCACATTGGTCTACAGTCTGTGGTTTTACCTAATTTAATTGCATGTTCATCGCACCCCAATTAGAAATATGCTAAATACAAAAGTTCCTATGTTACTGTGACGTGTCTCCGATTTATTTCTACAATTTCGTCACACTAATAAAATGCATAACATTGTGCAACAACCATCTTGGTATAGTAAAAACTTTTTTATGTACTTCATGTACTTTTGTGTACCTAGGATTCACCAATATTGGTAATAATATGATTATCGTAAGTTTTACTAGAAAAAGTATGTAATTATTCTACCTTTACATGAAATGAACAAGAATAAGCCTCATGCAACCTTCAGCGTTTTGCGATTCTAATTTCAGTCTTGATTAGTAGTAACATCGACCATGAAACCGATCATTTTCCAAGAAAGTAACTTATCATTATAAAGTTAGAATATATTCGCCAAAGATGATAGCATATTACAGACAAGACACAGCCAAGCTGTATGCGATGTCTCCTATTTCACAAGGCGGTGTTGCGGTACAACCAGATGTGGGCCTGTTATTGATTTTCACCGCTTTGGTTAGTCTCCACGTCCCTATATTTACATTTTTACATTTATATATAAGTCATGTAAAATACACTAGAGGGTATTACTTTGTATTTACTAATGTATATCTTTGGAGTATTAATTTTATAACTTGTTTTGTTAGGTTGTTTCCCAACCTGGATCGAAAATGTTATTTTCAGGGTTTACAGGTTGAGTATTGAAATTGTTTCACGGATGTGTTGAAAAGATAAGGCTGCCATAATCATACTCGAGATAATTACATGTATATCTTTAAAATAATATCCTTCACTTTTTCACTCGTTTGTGGTATACGTTAAGTTCTTTTCAATCCATACGTCATATAAAATAGTACTTGAAATTTGTCAAATGCAGTTAAAATATTAAAAAACCTAATCATTTCCACTAAAAAGGTCAATAGTTAAAAAATATTATAAGGTTTAATAAAGCCCGTATTTTAAGAGACAAATTAAACTTTAACAATAAAATGTTATAATTTACGTTGCGTAAGTTTGTTCATCTATTAGGTAATAGTGAAATACCACTTAGGTTATGAGAAATTACTTAGAGCGTACAAAAGTGTCCAGAAAATCTTTCACTTGAGCGGTACTAGTTGATTGGCCTATTGACGCTGCAGCACAAGTGGTGAGGCTAAGGGTGGGTACTCGAGTAGGCAGCGAAATCCGGCGAGGTCGTCCTTTAAACTTTACAGTCATTGTTGGATTTCACAAGTAATTACGAGGAGACCTTCTTATACTTGCAATTTAATTTGTTCATCTTCTGTCCTAAATGTAATTTAGATCGTGTAACACGGTTCTTATAAAGTTTTAATCGCTAAATACGGTCTTAAAATTGAGTACAGTATTATAAACAGCTTTAATCCAAGGGTGGGCTGTAAAAATACAAATATTTTAAATAAACTACATTAGTTTGCAGCACTTTAATACTAATTATTCTATAATAAGCCTTTAATTAAAACTATAGTATGATTTTGGGATTGGAAACCTGCAATTTAGAGATAGAGCTCGCCTGAGACCATCTCTTTTCTGTAAAAATGGCTGATTGACTTATAGTAAAAGAAGAGTTAACCCCTCTATAAAAGGGGGTTGTAACAAACAGTATTTTGTATGTTACATTATAAATTAGCTAAACGTTTACCAATCTATTTGTTTAAAATCACGCCTTTTCATAACCATAAATTACATGAACCTTATCGTGGTTATGTTTTGTTAAGTAAAGGAAACACTGTTTATGAAAACCAATGGACTGTATTAATTGACTGCAACATATACATTTTCTAATTAATTAAATCAAAACATAACCCTTTCAACAGCAAAAGAAGTTAGTTGCGTTTCATTTTCTACCACAAGTGTAACCAATATTATATTCCATCGAGTAAAGTAGGTCATGTTGTTCCAAATAATCAGACAGATATAGTGCGATTGTTGTCTTTCTTTGAGTTCGCTGGCGTGAATGATTGGTTTATTGATTTCCTGTCACCGACGCTGTAGTTGCACTCTGCGTAATTATTTTTGGGCGTATGTTGTTTAGAAATATCATTCCACAATTGGGTCGTTTTCTGTTGTTTTGGTCCGAGTAAAATGTGAACATCAGTATTAAATACAGTCATTGTCTGTATGATATACAGGCAATGATACAGTATAAACGTTATGTCAATTGTAATTTAATTATTATATTGCTCATGATATTCAATGTTATTGGACAAATAACGAGAAATGTGTTTTTGGTTTTTCTGGTGTGGATATCTGTTTTGAATATTTTGTGATATACAGCGATTTCTTTGAATATATTTACTACTTTCAAAATTATTTTGTTTTGTAAATAATTTACAGTTCATAGAAATTCAATTATTTATTCCATAAGAAATATATTTTACCTGACAATACTTTTAACTAATTCAGTTCAAATATTTTAATAAAATAGACTACTTTAATAGCAATGAAGAAAACAGTACACCCTTTTATAGACTCTTGATCTATTTGAATTAATTATTACATTTAAATATCAACTAAGACGTTTGTTGCTAAATAATATATTCTACGTACAACCTTTGACTATAACCTAATCAAGAACACATTGTTTGGAGAAAACAGAAAACAGTAGAATCCTGAAGATATGCAAATTCTTATCGCATCATTTTAGAAATCTTCTTTGTTGATTTCTTGTGCAAATATGTAATGGTGGCAAAGGTGTAAAAGGTACAGAGGTGTAAAAGAATAAATGTTACACATATACAAAATACAAAGAACTGTAATTACAAGCAGTACCTAACACTTACTAACAATTGTCAAGGTTATCCTTCTGCTTGGTTGGCAACATAAACAAATATTTCTTCTCTTTAACAAATTAAATGCAGTTGAGTACTAAAATAGGAAAACCAAAAATAAAATAAAACATTTACGCACCTTATGATTGTTTAGCCACAACATCCATCTCTTAAATAAACAGCAGCACTAAATAGTTATAACACAAGAAAAAACAAA